GGGGGGGGGCAGGTGGGCTTGGCTTTGTGGCTTTATGCGAGATATACCTGTTAGATCTCTCTCCCTCTCCCTCTCCCTCCCCCTTTCTCTCTCCCTCTCTCTCTCTCTCTCTCTCAATCTCTCCCCCGCTCTCTCTGTGTGAGTGTTTTTTGCAGTCATCGCATCCATTCCACACAATGCGTAACTCACTCAGCATACATAATATCGATACGATAGATACCCCTGTGGTCTTTATTACAGACGTGTGAATGCAATGCCATATAGCCTCTCTCTGGATTCTCTATGCCTGCCTCTCTGTCTGTCTGTCTGTCTGTTAAGACGTTTAAGGGGCCGGCCTGCTGTGAGTGAGCGAGGGCTCGTGTGATGTGGGAAGGGGGATTTTGTTTACGCCGCGCGGATGGATGGATGGATGGGCACACGTCGCTGTGTTAATAATGACAAAGACAGAGATGGCTGGCTGCCCCGACACCAGACCACACCACACACCACACCACACCCCACTACGACACTGGATTCAAGTTTTTATGTAAGTATGCTGATGGTCGGCTGCCTGACACACATTCACCGTTGTTCGTTTTCTGTTTGTGTCGTGCCGACTTTGGTCGGCCCCCCCCAACCCCCCTCTCCCCTCCGTGTGTGACCATCTTTCCTCCTAGCTGGCCGATTTCGCGCTCGCGGGGTGGTCGATGGATGGATGGATGGGAGGGGGCTTCCATCACAATGCACAATGGCTGGTACACACGGTCGGGTGGCGTGTGTGTGTGTGCGTGTGCGCGAGGCAGGCAGCCAGGCGGGTGGGCCGCTGGTACTCGGTCTGTCTGTCTGTCTGTGTCTGTCTGTGGTCCGTATTTTCGTGATTGTAGTGATGTGTGTGGTGTGGTGGGGGCTGGCTGGTCTGTTCTCGCCTACCTGTCCAGCCGTCTGTCTGTCTAGTTCGTGGTGGCCCATCCATCCATCCATCCATCAGATCAGATCTGATCAGCATTTCTCTGTCTGTCTGTCTTGTCAGTCGGTCTTTTCTGGCGCATTGGCGTGTTTTGCGCATCTCGGTTGGCCTGTCGGGTCGGGTGGGTCTGTCTGCCTGTCTGTCAATCGGTCGGGTGTCTATCTGTCTCTTTGTGAGGGTCAGTCAGTGTAATTTAACTAACGACACGCCTCTGTAAGATCATGAGATGTGTGTGTTGGTGCGGTCGGATGGGGTGCGGTGGGGTGGGGTGGGGGCGTATAGCTGGCTAGCTAGTTGTGTGTGGGTGTGTGTGGGTGTGAGAGAGAGTGGGCCGATATGACTTGATAGTTAGTATGCGGTGGGGTGGTGGGTGTGGGTGTGGGTGTGAATGAGTATACGTATGTTTGAATGCATTGAATGCGCTTCGTGCCTCCCTCCTCTCCTCCCTCACTGCCTCCCTCACTGCCTCACTGCCTATGTGTCGAGGGAGGGATCCTTACTCAACTCAACTCCACTCGGTCTTGCTCAGTTCACTTCACTACCCTCGCCTCGCCTCGCCTAGCCTCACCATGAACAGTTCATCTGTCTGTCTGTCCGCCTGCCTCACCCAACCCACCCACCCGCATAGCGTAGCGTACCCCTCTCTCTCTCTCTCTCTCTCTCTTGCCTCTCTCTTATCTCTCTCTGGTCACCCACTGCTGACTACCGACACAGACCAGACAGCATTTGTGTGTGTGTGTGTGTGTGTCCATCATGTGTTGGGGCCGGGACCCCCACTGTGAATTACATACCATACATATACTGTCCGCCTCTCGTCACGTCACGCAGACGAAACGGATCCAGACCATTGACCCAATCAAATTTATATATTGGACCCAATCAACCATGCGGCCAGCAGAGCCGTCAGTCAGAAGGTCCACACACGCAAGCGCACGCACACACACATCTGCACACACGCACGGTCACACACGCGCGTGAGGTAGTCTGCACACAACGAAGGAAGGACGAGTAGATAGGGATACCCCCACCACACCCAGCCCCACCACACCCACCACCCAGCAATGGACACCCACACCCACACCCATCAGCAATAGACATCGACGGTAGTCTCTCACTACTCATTCACTTGGGAAGTGTGGTGACGAGCCACTCCATGCCGTCCTGCAGCCCGTCCCCCGTCTTGGCCGAACACGCCTGGATGTTCCACGTGCGGTCCCGGATCGCATGCAGCGACAACTGCTCCGCTATCTGACATGACACAGAGGGATTGATCCATCCAGTGAGTGACACGCACGACAGACACACCATAAGATAGATACACGCTGTGTGTGTGCAGCCCCGTACCCACCTCCTGTGCGGACAGGGCCTGCAGGAGGTCCTGTTTGTTCGCAAACACCAGCAATGGGATGCCACCTGCACACACACACAGATACACACACACACACACACTCCCTGTCTGTCTGTCTCTCTGTGTGTGTGTCTGTGTGTGTGTGCCTAGTTTGTCCTGCTGCAGCAGTTCGTTGAGCTCCTCCCCGCTCTCCTCCAGCCGCCGCCTGTCCGCGCTGTCGATCACATAGATCTGCACACACCAACACAACACAACACAGGACAAGACAGCAATGAACAGATGGATGGATGGATGGACAGACACTCCAGGCGTCCGTCATTCGCTCTAATACCAGCGCGTCGGTGCCTTCAAAGTAGTTCTGCCAGTACGCCCTAATGGTCTTCTGACCTGACCACATTGTATGTGCCACATCCATCCATCCATCCCATCAGCCACAGAGCCCGACCCCGCAAGTACCTCCGATATCCCAGACGTTGAGCTTGAAGGATCCCTGGACGAGCGACTTGATGTTGAAGCCCTGCGTGGGCATGATGTGGCTGATGTCCTCATCGCTAAGCTTCTTCAGGATGGTCGTCTTGCCGCTGTTGTCCAGCCCCAGCACCAGGATCCGCGCCTCGCTGTCGCTACGCTTCAGCTTACGCAATAACGTCAACAGTCCCTGAAAGAAAGAAAGAACGAGCCAACGGACGGATATATGGGATGGGATGGACGGATGAGGAGAGAGAGGCACAGCACCACAGCACACGGCAGATGTTGGTTGGATGGACGGAAAGGGGTGAGAACTGAGCAATGCGGTGTGTGGGTGGCTCCTTACCATCAGGCAACTGCGCGCGCCCTCACGCGCGTGCAACCGCCACAAAATTTACCGCGATTTGCGAGCTTAGTCGCGTGTTGTCCTCCCCCTCCTCCCTCTTTCTCTGTCTTCAAACCAAGCTCGACCTAGATCTGCAATCTCCGCTTGTCCACGATGCTGCATTCACCTCTGGCCCTCATCGCAACAGCACTCATCTCTTCCGCATCAGCAGCAGCAACAGCAGCAGCGCTGTCAAGGCTCTCCGCGTCAGGATCTCCTCTCCACCCATCACCCCTGACACCGCCGGTGCCTCGTCGCATCGCTGCTGCTACCGCTACCGCCTATGTCAACTTCAACTTCCCTGTCGGGTCGCCGCAGAGCAACGTGCAGCAGGCCAACCCCTACGCACAGCAGCCCCGTTTCTTTGTGGTGAGGGAGGAGAGGAGAGGGGGATGGACACTGCCGTGGATGAGTCAGCACAGCATCTCTCTCTCTCTCTCTCTGTGTGTGTGTGTGTCTGTTCTGTGTGTGTGTGCAGTTGGATCCTTCTTCGAAGGAGACGATACTGCTGTTCGGTCGGCTTGCGCAGGAGTACTACCCCGACACACCCGAGCAGTCCGGCAGGCAGGGAGAGCCCTACGCTTACCTCGTGCAAGGTGAGCCGGTGGCAGTTGACCGATGGATGGATGGATGGCCAAGCACACAAACACTCTCTCTCTCTCATCTCACGGACAGGAGTGTGCTTGTGCTGCTGCAGGTACGGGTACGTCGATAGCGTCGCGCCTGCAGCCCCCTCCCCCCACCCCCAAGTGGGAGCGGCTGTTCCAGAACCCAACCGGCGGCACCGACCCGAAAATATCTAGGGCAACCTTCCAGGTAGTTAGGCCGGGCCAGCGGCATTCAGGGAAGCGAGCCAGGGCTTGCCTGTGTGTGTGTGGTGTGTGTCATGGGATGGGACGTCCGTCAGGTGCGTATGCAGGAGCTGCCCTTCCTGTGGCCCCTCTTCAAGAACGAGACCATCGTCGAATCAACCATCTACAACGTCATCGTCGAGCAGAACCTACAGGCACGTCTTGTCACGTCATGGAAGCCAGCCGCCCCCCGGCCGACCCATTCTTTCTCTGTCGCTGGCTGCAGGCAATAGAGGTGGCCAAGGCTGATGCCGATGAGCTCAAGGCCTACATCGACAACCTTGCTGGGGGCGACCCCGCCGTCGCACAGCAGATTCGCGGGGCGCTCGCACAGTTTGAGATGGGCGGGGGGAACCTGCCCGACCTCGGCATACGCAAGGTCCGCCAACGGAGCCGCGCGCAGGCCAGGAAGGTCGTCCATGAGATATTTGGAAACGAAGAACTCTCATCGTAAGCGACACAAACACACAGACAAACACACAAACAGACAGACAGACAGACAGACAAGCTTTAGGTTTCTCTCTCCCTCCCTCACTCCTCTCTCTGTGCAGGCGTGTGTGTCGGGCCTTCCTGGACAGCCTGTTTGGGAGCGAGAAGAAGGAGTTCAGTCGGTATGAGTTCGCCAGGGCCCTGGGCCAGATGAGCAGGGAAGAGTTCTCGTCCGGCAATGTCGACTTCGAGACCTTCGCCGCGCGGCTGCGTGAGTCGCTGGCCGACTACCCGGTGCCCGCTGTGAGGCCAGCGATGTCGCCTGGCCTGGGGCAGCTGTTCAAGCTCTTTGGCAAGGCACCTGGGCCGTCATGATGAAATGATTGGGGGGGATGTGACAGGATGAGATGAGATATGTGTCGGCTTTATCGGCTTTATGGGTGTGGTGGGACTGATGAGATGAGAGGCTGGCGGACGGACCTTTTTCTCGTGTGTTGGGGGAGGGAGAGTAGATACGACAGACAGAGGCGGGGAGGGAGTGAGGGAGGATTGAGAAGCGACAAGTGTCACCGTGCATCACGAATGTATGTCCAAACAATCGATGGATGTCCAAAACACGGGTAGTGGGACAAAATACCCCCTGCACACACGCACACACACACACACACACAGACCGTCACCTACAGACATGACATGCATATGGCTACTCAGAAAGCGATAGCAGCGAGGGGCCTGGACAATCCCGACAGCGATAGATACTGTTTGTCTGTCTGTTCTTTCTGTAGGCTTCATTTGCAAGCAACCGAAGGCAGTGGAGGCAGTCAGTAATGAGAGCATTGGCAAGTAAAGGAAAGGGAAAGGGAAAAGGCGAGAGATGGCCCAGAAAAATGCACACACCGCCACTGTCTGTCAGCTCGACACAGCCAGCCAGCCAGAAGCTCTCTGTACACTAACTACAGGTCCTCTCACTCCACCTGACCCCACCCCACCCTCACACCGTCTGTCTGTCTGTGTTCTGTCTGTCTGTCTGTCTAATCATGCCGTTCATTGCCTCCGCCTGTCGCCCCCACCTACCACCACACTACCCCTGTTCTCTCCCCTCAACCTCAAGCCAGCCAAGTCAACACTCCTCTCCTCATCTCTTCCAGCATCAGCATCACCATCAGCATCACCCTCCCCCTGCTGCGTGGGGGTGGGGGTGGAGGTGTGGGGGTATTTCCGTATAAGCTCCGTCCGCATTATGTGGTAGCCGTCCTGGAAGGCCCCCGACGTGCCCTTGAGGGCGTCCAGCGGCTGATCTGACCCCGGCCCACCACCTCCACCCATCAAGTCCAGCTTCCACTCTCGCAGCGCCATGAGCTTGCCTTCGAGCTTGTCGAGGGTGCGGGTCATTGCGGAGGGCAGCACCTGGTACTCGCTGGCCAGGGACGAGATCGAGGGGACGGAAGGCCGCGATGCCACTGAGCCGTCGGGGAGCCGACGCAAGCCGTGGCGACGGCAGTAGAGGGCAGCTGCAGAAAGGGAAATGGACAGACACGGAAAGATAGATCGATGGCAAGGGTGGGTTGGCTTCGTGTCCTCCTCCCGCCTTATTTATTCACCTTCCTCTGCCGGCAGTTGTTTGATGAGGTCCCACACTGCCTGGTCTGAGAAGAACTGCTCCATCACATTCGGCTGCGTCATCTGACCCACCCGACCACCACCACCGACACCACCGCCAGCCCCATCCGCCAGCAGCTCAGCCACGGTCAGCACCCTCACCCTCGCCCTCCTGACGTCGGCCTGCGGGTGCACGTCTGCCGGTGTCAGCTGCGACAGAGTGGGCTGCTCCACAACCGCCTTCATGAACTCGGCCGTCTCGAAGCCGTCTGGCGTGCCGGTGAACATGGGCTTGTCGGTGGAGCTGCTGATGCGCGTCTGGTAGATGTCCTTGAGCCGCCTGATGCCGATGCCCACCGTCTCGCCCAGCTCGTCCAACAGCACCTGGGAGCGCTCCAAGAGGTCCCGCACGACCTCCTGGATCTCCGCGCTGCTCACGTACGCCGCCATGAGGGGGCTGGCGCTGCTGCCCTTGGCCTGAAAATGCTCTGAGCGGGCTCGTGCAGTGAGGGACACCTCTGCGTCACTGAGGGCGAGAAGCATGTCGGTGACCTGGTCAAATGAGCCGATGGGCTGGCCGATCTTGTCTGTGAGGAGGGCGTAGTAGCCGTCCTCGAGCAGCGCCTTGATGCGGGTGCGCTTGGTCTCTTTGCGGACTTTCTCGACCTTTGGAAGCTTGGAGTAGAAGTCCTCGTTGATGGGCACCATGCGGCGCTGCAGAGCCATCCGCTTCAGACCCTGCTGCACAAATGGCTGCGCATACCTGATACCAAGCCACACACACACACAGAGAGAGAGTCAGGGAAATGGTTCCTTCCCCTCCCTCCCTCTGCGCTTGTTCCAGTGCGTTCTGTCTGACCTCTCGAGTGTCGACTGTCGGTAGAGCCCCCTCGGCCCAGCGTAGCGCACGATGGCCTTGGTGAGGAAAGCCGACCCCAGCTCGTACAGCTCCATCCACTCCATCCCCGATGCCGGCGGGTAGGTCTCCTGGATGCGCGACGCTATCCGGTACACCACCGGCGCAAACTTGGCCTGGAACCGCATGATTGCGCTGTCGGCCGCACCGCGCTTACGAGCGAACAGCTCCCCCAGGTAGTCGGGGTACTTCTGGTGCAGCATGCGACCGAGTTCCTCCACAGGAAACGCCTCGCGCCGGTCGTCAGGCGATAGCGGCTCCAGTGCCGACGGCCTGAAGCGTGACCAGAGGTGTTGTTCGAGACGTGAGAGCTTCTCTTCTGGGGTGAGGCGGTCGAGTGGCTGTGCGGGGGGGCTGACGACGGCCAGTTCCTTCAGTGTGAGGGTGAGGAGGGGTCCGCTGAGCGTTCTGCTGACAGATGATATGTCGGCGAGGAGGGATGCGGCGGTGCGGTTGGTGAGATTGCGATCGGGGAAGGCGTCGATCACCGACGGGATGATCGGGTTCACGTCGCGCAGCACCTCGTCCACCCACCTGACCACAACACGACAAAGCATTCCACACATGCACGGATCGCCATTGTGTGTGCACCCCCTTGGTCACCTACCTTCGGAATGCAGGGTGCCACAGTCCAACAGAAGGGTCGTCCCTTGCCTCCTCGGGCAAAGCGGGGCCCTCGTAAGCCTTCCCATCGATGGGCGGTGGAAACCGCCTGTCGCCCTTCTGGCCCTCCAAGATGAACCTGACAATGGCGTCATACAGCGGGCGCATCTCGATCAGCTCGTCAACCAGCTCGGCCAGTGCCTGGCCAGGCACCACGCCAAGACCCAGCAGACGGTCGTATGTCAGGTCCCGCCAGAAGAGCCACGGGGGAGGCGCCTCCAGCACATCGCCGCCAGGGTCGCTGTCTTCTGGGTGGAGCAGCAAGGGCAGTGGGGGGGCGATGACGGGCTCATCGAGGGGCAGGCGGCTGACAGGGTCACGGTTGAGCTCCTCCCACTTGTGGGCCGCTCCCGGCAGCACGCCGAACCCCCTCTGTCGGTCTTTGGCTGTCTGCGCCGCCTTCTTGAGCCGCGACCACCGCTCGATCTGCGCCGCCAGCCGAAAGATCTGCTCACTCTTGAGGCGAGACTTCCCCTTCGCTGCCGGCTCAACAAGCCGCCACACCTTCGCCCGATCACTGGTGGACCGCCCCTTGGAGCTCACTAGAGGCCGCTCGGGCTCGAGCACTTTCGTGACGTTCATCTCCTGCAGCTCCTCCACAGCTGCGCCAGGAAGCCCCGCCATCGCGGGCAGCGCACCCGGATCATCGAGGGGCGGCGGGCAGGGGGCAGCGCCGGCAATGATGCGGGCGATCATCTGACCCTGGTTGTAGTGGTCCAGTAGAGGGCCTGAGGGGTCCCGGTGGTCGTCAAGACCATAGTCGGGGTAAAGAGGGGCGGTTGGCGCCCTCTTCTTCTCGGCGGGCTCCAACAGACCGGCTGACGGGCCGCCCGACATCTCCTCTTTTCCATCCTTGCTCTCGGCGGCACTGTCGACCACCTGCAGGCTTTGCTTCTGGTAGACCCGTGCGAGTGCCCCTCCCAGCCGCCGGCCGAAGTTCTTCCACACTTCCACCACATAGTAGCGCCTCATCCAGTAGAGCAGCGCCCGATTGAGGTCGTCGAAGATCGACACACCGCCTAGAGTGAGGTCCTTGCCCGGGGTGTAGGTGACGGGCAGCGGGGCGGCGAGCGTCTGAAGGAATGTGTGGAGCTCCTTCTCGACTTGATGCATCGTCTTCTCCCGTGCAGACCGGTCCTCGTCTTCAGGCAGCGAGAACCGCGTCCGAAACGTCCCCATAGGCGTCGAGGATCGGCCATCGCTGGTCGTCTCCGTCACCGTCGACAGGGCCGACACAGCCGCACGCACTAAGGCCACCGACAAGACTTGCACCGCCCCTCCCAGCCGCACCTGCCTTTTCGCTGCCTCGGTGTCCTTCTCGTCCGTCTGCGCCTCGCCCCCGAATGCCGGCGGGCAGCTCTGCGCCGAGCCCATGATGACCTCCACAGCGTCCTCCACCAGCGGCTCTAGACGGGCGACCGACGGCAGTGTTCTCGCGACAGATGGGCCGGGGAGGAAGTCAGCCACGTTCTGGGCGATGGGCTGTCGGCCGTTGTTGCCGAAGGTCTCCCACAGCTCGATGAAGCCCTCCAGGAAGCCGGTGAGGATCTCCCTCGCCACTGGGATGGAGCCCTCACGTGCGTTGGATCGGTGGTCGAGCAGGTTGAGCCAGTCGGACTGCTCACGACGACTGAGGGGGCCGTCCAGCTCCGGTCGCCGGGCTGGATCCTTGTCTGTGTCTGTTGCTGACGAGTTGACAGCGACGGCAGCGGCACTAAATGCGTTGGTGGCCCTCTTTCTCGCCGATCTCTTCTTTGAAGAGGGCGGAGGGATGAGGGCATCACGGTCGAATGCAGATGGGGCATGATCGTCATCAGATGCGGGAGAAGCCGTCGGCGCCTGTCGTGTCGCCTTTTTGTCCTGCTCCTTGGCCAGTTTCTCCTCCGAGAAGGGCCACTTGACATCTGGCAGGAGGCGGAAGTGGCTGTCGACTTCGTTCCACCCGTACTTGGACATCAGACGCTCCCGTATCTCGTCAACAGAGGGGGGCCGCTCCGACTTCTCCTCCTCTCCCTGGGAACCATCGCCGCTGTCAGCAAGCTCGCCCCTCCTCTCTCGCGCCGACATGGTCACATCCGTCCCGCCATTCGCCCTGCCGTTCGCACGCACCGGCACTTCTGTAGCACCATCGTCTTCAGCAGCCTCCTCAGCCATCCTCATAGGCTGGTTACGCGGCCGCATCCACTCCATGTCAACGCCATCTGCAACGTCGGTATCCACTTCCGGCGGGTCGAGCACAGCGCTGCTCCCCTTCGCCGATGAGGCCAAGAACATCCCAATATCGCCGAATAAAGGCCGCATGCCATCACGCTCATTGCCGCGGTTTGGCAAAGGAAAGCTGCTGCCCAGCCAGTCTAGTGAGAGGTAGAGTGTGGTTGGGCGAGGGCGAGGGCGAGGGCGGGGAGAGGAGTGCCGCCATGGAATGCCGCGATGGTGTTTGGGCGACAGGCGAAGAGCGGCGGCCAGGGGCAGCATGACGTGGTCCCTCAGAAGACCCAGTGCAGCCAGCAGCGGACCCAATACGAGCAGCAGCTTCCACAGCCATGAGCGAAGACAGAGCTTCAGGCGTGTCTTGAGTGGCACTTGGGGTGCGGTGCTGATCCAGTATGCTCCTCGGCTCCCCTGCGGCTCTGGTGTCCAGTGCTGCAGTCGGCTAGGTGGAAGATGAGAGCACTGCGGAGGGTCGGAGGGCATCGAAGCTGCAGATCTCCGTCGAGCTGTACTTGTGGACTCCATCGAAGAAGCAGGTTGCTGAGAAAGACCAAGCTCGCGTTGCGAGCCGAGAAAAATCCTTGCCCTTGCTGACGATGAAGGCCTTTGCGTGAGGTACGGAGTGGCCACGACTCGTTCATCACTCAGCTGCCATCCTTGATCCATCAGCTCGTGAGCGACATTCTCTCTGGGCAGACTCAGTCTGAGTGTACACAGACCTGCGGCTTTGATTCGAATCAACACGCCGCTTAGAAGCTCTCGTCCGACGGTGAGTGAGAATGCGATTAACTCGCCGCGACGCCATCATGTGATTTGTGTCTTGATGTGATTGCATTGCGCTGTGCAGGTGATTCAGGCTCATTATTGACAGGCAAGCATGCGCACGACACGTGCACCAGGCGCATGCACATTTCTTCGCTGTGTGTGTGCGGTGGATGCAGCGGTGTGGGTGTGTTTGAGTGATGTCTGAGGCTTACGGCCTCGGCGCGCCCTCTGCTGCCACGGCAAACCGTTACAACGGCGACGCAGGTACACCACACACAAATCTATAGGACACACCCCACACACAAGCACCATCCCGCCATGTGACTGCGTCTATGCTGTTGTGCGTTTACTTGTGATTGCGGACGACGTAGATGAGGAGCAGCGTGGCGGTGGCGGACCAGCAGAGGAAGACGATCGCAGCGGCATTGACAGCGGTGAGTGACTGACCAATCATGGTATACAGACCAACCGACACACCAGCAGCACGGCACACTGATGTGTTCTCTGTCGGTGCGTCGCCTGTGTCTGTGGTCAGACGAGCAGAAGGAGGAGCATCACGGCGGGGTGGCCGACGAGATGGCCGATGAGGAGGGAAGTGATAGCGAATCGGTGAGGCACTCATTCTGTCATTCACGAACACAACACGAGTCAATGCGACTCGATGTCCGGCACGTTTTCCCTTGCCCCTTTGTGGTGTCGGGATGCCATGCAGGAGGATGGCGATGGGGCTGGTGCTGGCGACGACATGAACGAAGACGACAGTGAGTTGTCAGATGAGTACAGTGACTCATCCGACGACGGCTACGAGGAAGAAGGTACGCCTGACAGACAAATGTGACAATGCTAAACACACACGCACTCACTGTGTGCCTCCCTCGTGTGGTGGCTCTGTGCACTGCAGGTCATCCTGTGGTGGCGGCCACTGGCGTGACTGTCCCAGACGGCTGTGTGGGCCCCACTGACATCGAGGCTCGCTTCCCCCTCGGCACCAACGAGGCCACCAAGCAGCTGGGGCTGGGTGTCATCGGCCGGACCATTATCGACCCACGCCAAGTGACCGCCCTCATCCGGCAGAACGGCGCCGACCCAGACGTCAAGCCTCGGCTGCGGAAGAAGGGCAGCAAGCGTCCTGGGTTCGCCCACTCGCTCTACGAATACCCGCTGCTCTGTCTCGCCATTGACAACCAGACGGACTACACCGTCACGACCATCGTAGCAGGCAGTGGTGCTCGCCGTTTTGTGGCCCTGCCAAAGTGGTCGTCTGCTGGGCTGCAGGCGGAGATCCTCACCGCACTGCTCGACGGAGGCGCCGACATCAACGCAACAGACGACGATGCCGTCAGCAAGCCCTTGTGGGTGGCGATCGCACTGGGCAACCAGACGGCCTTCGACATCCTGACGGCGCGTCAAGACATCGACCTGCGCCCACCAGGCCCACACATGGTGATGGAGCTGCCCCGTCCCCTGCGTCCGCCTCCCCCCCGGTATCTGGAGGTGCTCATGTCGATGTATCGGCAAGTCACCGCACGAGACCCCACCCTCGCCACCGAACACGGCAACGGCCACAACCTGGTGCACATGGCAGCCATGGTGGCGGGGGGACAGTATCCCCAGTCCTTCATCGACGCCTACCTCGACCTCATCACGGCGAACGGCGCCGACATGACGGCAGTGGAGGGCGATGGATGGACGCCATTGCACTACGCGGAATCGTGTGGCTCTCCCCACGTGGCCGACTACCTCTGCCGCAAGGTGCCCGCTGCTGACGACATCAACAGACGGACCCACTACGGTACACTCTTCGGCAACACGCCCCTCGCCCTCGCTGCCGAGGAGCTCGATCGCCGCACCCAACGGCTACAGCACCCGCACACGCCCGAGAACACCAAGAAGGAGTATCGCGCCAAGATTGACGAGTACAGGCAGATCATCCATTCGCTGCTGCGGGCGGGGGCCGATATCAACAGCATCTCCACAGCCACAGAGTGGGACCGCTGTGGCCGCCAGCTGGTGCTGGCCGAGTATGCGACAATACTCAACGAGCTGCCCGCTGCCGTGACGTCGGCTGTCAGCGCCGCCCTCGCCCCTCACCGCTCCCTCGCGGCCCTCCTGACCCCCCAGCTAGCCGTCGGCCCGCAGGAGGCCGCCATCTTCGGCTGGCGCATCGCGTCATACCTCTTCGACATGGATGCCGCCCAGGAGGCCGTCAGTGAGGCCGGTGTGCGGCACACCGACATGGCCCACCGTGTGTGTGCGGCAGCGGAGCACTTCGTGCGCTCGGCAGTGTACCAGGCCAGCAGCAACAGGGAGGTGGTCGGCGGGACGGCCGATGTGGGCAGCCAGGTGGTGCGTGTGCCGCAGCTGCAGTGCTTTGTGGTGGGCGGTATGGGTGGCCGCAAGATGGAGCTGCGTGAGATGGTGCAGCGGGCAATCCTGGACGAGGCGGCCCAGTGGGGGCTGGCGGGGGAGATCGGCAACGGCTTCAGCAGGGATGTGCCCGCGGTGGTGTGGGGGGCGGTGGGGTGGGTCGAGAGGGGGCGGGACGGCAGGAAGACGTTCAGGTCGCTGCGGATGACGTGAGATACTCACAGAGACAGATTTGGGTGGGAGGCAGGCAGGTTGGGGATTTTGATGTGTGGATGGATTGTTGTTGGTGCCTGACCCACCCGAGTGCTTCCCTGTCGCCCGCCCCAGGTATGTTTGTGATAGAGAGTGCGTGTCTGACTGGACAGCTCGACAGATGGGGATGGATGAATGGATGGATACCATTGGATGAAAGGTGGTCAGATAAAGAGCTGTCACCCTCATGTGTTCACTGACGCACCACTGAGGCGCCATGTGAACGAACGAACGAACGAACCAGCGGGGTGAGGGCTCACCTGCTGCCTGCACTGGACGTGCACAGTACAGAGACGGCGGCTGACTGGCTGGCGGACGGCTGCTTCAGCGGCCTCCTGAATTCATTTAGTGGCTGCTGCCTGGTGTGTGCTCCTGGCTGACGTTGTTGCCCGTTGCTGCCCTTCTTGCTCAGCCGAGGCATGATTTTGTTCTTGCGATTCTCGCCGAGACGGGACGGCGCGCGGAAGAACGAAAAAACAACATTGTCGTGAACAGCAAATTATCAGCATCGCCGTCTTCTCCACCCACAGATTCATCTTCCTTCCGTGTGTGGTGTCATGCCGACCACCGGCAGCCAGCGCAGCGTTCAACAACCGCCTTCTAGCACCACCCTAACGACCGGCCTCCATGCCGCCGCCCCTCTCCATGTTGTATGAATGGGCTGACTGACCAACCGTTTTCCTCCTCGACTGTTCGGGTTTTTCCAGAGATGTGTCTCTACCTGCCGCCTTTGCGTCACGCTGGCGAGGCTGCGGTGGTCCGTGACGTACTGGGGACTGCTCGTGATGTGCTTACCATGCTTCGTGGCTGCATTGTGAGCGAACATCGGGTGCATAAATTGGTGCATGCTTGTTTTGTCTGCCCACCGTACACGCACTGCTATCAGATCTTGCCGGAACAGCGAGTGTTGCGGGCGAAAGTTGGAGTGCAAGAAGCGTGAGCTCTGCTGTGGGAGGAGAGTGTGGTCGGTGACGTGTGATGGATGGATGGATGGTACCCTGCCTGTGTCTGCCCGTCTGTCTGTCTTTCCGTGTGTGTACGTCTGTGTCTATTGTGCAGGTGTTGTGCCCTCAGGACGATAGGCGCGGGTGGTGTCGCACCATCGCTACCTGCACTCTATATCGTGCTGTCTCCTTCCCATGTCGATTCGTTGTTAGTGAGATGCCATGTGCTTGACACCCTCGGTGGATGCCTCCATCTGGTTTTTCGGAGACAGATGGAATGCTGGAGCCAAAATTACGAGTATATTGCTGCCTACATTTTATATTGTGTTGTGCCAGTGTTGGCGGTAGCAGGACGCAGGAGAGAGACATCATGGAGTCGGAAAGTGCCGGTGCGCATCTTTCTGATGAATGCTCCGTCTCGATTGTTGACACGAAATGCATCCACCGATGTGTCACCACTGTGTGTGACTTACTCACTAACCAACCACACGAAAAGGCACTCGATCGGATCGACAAGGTGCACACCACACTCACAAAGCCAGCCTGTCAGTCAGTGCCTTACACATACACACATGCGCACACTCGCACACGGCTATCTATCCATGAGAGGTGCTGTGCTGTCTGCACGTCGGTCTCGATCTTCACAATGCGTCAAAACATGGCCGTCATCTCTGCGATTATGGGGTCCTCTAAGGTTGGCTCAGGCAGCTGGGTGCCGATGACGGCCAGTTCGTCGGCCTTGTCGTTGCCCTCGTTGCCGCTGTGGCCCTTGACGTGCACCATCTCAAGCATGCTCATACCGAAGCCATTCCGCTCCTGCGTGCAGTGCAGTGCAGTGCACACGGCACACATACGGAGAGATGCAACCAGCGGGAAGTAAGGGGGCCGTGCAGTGCATGTGTGGCTCCACTGATTGAATGAATTGGCCGACCCGTATGAGCGCATCGAGAGTCTTGACTAGGTCCTGGTTGCTCACGGGCTGAAGGAGCGACACACAACACAAGACAAGACAAGAGAGGGAAGGATGAATGAATGCGTGGTCGTGTCAGTATGTTTTGAGTCGATCTTTCGTGGACGTACGTCTTTGTTGGCGTTCTTCCATCCGTTGGAGCGCCACCTCTGAATCCACTCGCTGACACACTTGATGGTGTACTGGGAGTCCGTGAACAGGCGGACAGGCAGTCCACGAGAATCCCTGCAACGCAACGCAACGCAACACCCCACCACACACACACACACACACAGGTGCATTGCTCTGCCTCTTTCTGCGGTCTGTTACTATCATTCACTTCACCACCTGCACAGCTCGAGTGCCTTGACGGCCGCGAACAGCTCCGCCCGCTGGTTGGTCTGCTTCCCATACATACGACCACAGCAGTTCCTGCACCGCACCGCAACACACCACACACACACATGTGGTGCCATCCCTCCCTGATTGATGCACGCCTTGCTGCTCAGCTGACTTACTTGTCATCGCCCTGTCCGAACCACACGCCCCACCCGGCCATGGCGTTCGGCTTGCCATTGTTCTCACACGCGCCATCGCTGTACACCTCTATCGCATTGGGACCCGCAGACCCATGCCTAAGTCCCGTGGTGCTCCCCGCAGCAGCGGCACTGCCACCACCCCCACCGGCCTTGTCGTATGGCCCCTGTCGGTACTGCTGGCGGTCTGGGCGGATCGGGCCACCATGTGACGCAGTCGCACTACCACTGCCACCCCCATTGCCACCGAACAGACACAGAGGAGCACCGTATAGCGTCTGCTTGGGTTTGTGTGTCCGGTATGCGGGCTGTGCGTGTGTACCCACCCGTCACTGGTGCCCATCCGCCAGTTGGGTCCGGCGTTCTGGTCCATCCACTTCTCGGCCTCGTCTCGGCTGGTGAAGCTCTTCATCTTGGCACTCTTGTGCCAGTTGTCATTCTCGTCCTTGACCAGGTTCTTGCACTCGCCCCACGACGTGTAGATGCCCACCGCTCCCTCAGGTGAGTTGGCCACGGCATAGAACTTGGACGCCTTCTGCGTCTGGGTCCTGCCGCCGCTGTAGGTGTAAGTCCGCGACATGAGGGCGCTGGGAGGGATGAACAGCAAGGGCGGCGGAGGGCTCTGGTGGGAAGCAGGCGGGATGGCGAGGAGAACGACCAAAACCAGCAGCGGCTGGACAGATGCTCGGCAGATTGGATAGATCTGGACAGTCGTTTCCGAAAAAACCATCCATGCTTAAGCTCAAATTCATCGCCCAGGCTCGCATCATAACCGCGAGGTTGCACGAAGATATTCAGCGACGTTAAGTGCGATTCCAAGTGCGCTTCCACTGCCATCAATCCCGCTGCATGCAGACGCCGCCCCCACCGCCCCCACGCCGAGCTCGCCCACTTTGGTGGAAGTATTGAACTGCATCAAGCAATGAAGGAGTTTGAAGTGACCAAGGTGAGAGGCCAACAGCGACGGAGCAGCACAGGGGGATGGGAAAGAATGGGCTGACGCCACGTTTGTGTGTTGTTTTTCTCTCGTAGGAGGAGCTCACCGATCTGATGAAGGCTTACATACAGAGGACGGCACACGAAGATATCGAGGTGAGCACACGGCCGCAGAAACAAGCTGCTGCTCTGCAATGGAATCAGCCATGTTTCCATCGCGGTTGCTGTGTTGCCGTTATGTATGTGCCCGCAGGAGATAGGGAGGCACGGCGGCATGGCTGGGCTGGCCAAGAAGATTGACACCGACCTCGAGAGAGGCGTCGTGTCGGGCGAGTCCATAGAGCACAGGAAAGAGGTCTACGGACTCAACAGATTCCCTGAAAAGAAACCAACTTGTATAGACGGACGAAAAGACGACAGACAGAACGGGCGAGCACAATGTTGTGCGTTGCATTGTGCATGGACTTTGCAGCATTTCTTATGCTGTGCTGGCAAGCGCTTCAGGACTTCACATTGAGGATTCTCCTCGTGTGTGCGCTTGTATCGTTTGTGCTTGCTCTTACTCTTGGAGAGAGACCCGATATAGGCAAGCCAAACATGCCACAAGGGACTGACTGACTGGCGCATGCCGTTGTTTTCTTCTGTATTGTCAGAGTGGATTGAGGGTGTGGCGATATTCGTGGCTGTCCTGATTGTGGTGATGGTCACCGCAGTCAATGACTGGAAGAAGGAACAGCAGTTCAAAAAGGTAATAAATGCAGAAACATGCTCGTCCTGGGCCCGGGAGAAGGGCGTGTGCCCCATCCATTGCTAATTGACAGTTGAATGAGATGAAGGACGACAAAGAGTGTTCGCTTATCCGTGGCGACATCGTCTCCAAGTACTCGGTGTTCGAGGTGGTGGTGGGGGACATTCTGAGTGTCGAGACGGGAGACGAAGTGCCCGCAGTAAGGAAAGAACCTCCATTGACAAGGAGGATCGCGGTGAGCATTGCCTTTCTTGCTGGCGACCTTTGTGTCAGGACGGTCTGCTGATCAGCGGCTACAATCTCAAGATGGATGAGTCATCTCTCACAGGGGAGACGGAATCCATCGCCAAATCGCCCTTTGACGTCTGCAAGCAGCAGGTAGACAAACGGCCTCAAGCCAGGCCAATTGGTAAAGCTCTGCAGGTTTGTGACTGAATCGTGCAGATTGCGGATCGTCAGGAGAAGTTAGAAAAGGCGACAGGGAAGAAGCACCATGTGATCGACAGCCCGGTGGTGCTGTCGGGGACGACCGTCACAAATGGCTCAGGGCTCATTCTTGTCCTGGCCGTGGGGCAGGCGTCACAGGTGTGTCCATGCAAAAATAAAAGCGCTCAGAGAAATGTGTCGTTTCCGGTAGGTGGGCCGTGTCATGGAGCTCCTTTCGGCTCCATCAGAGGCAACACCGCTCCAATGTAAGACGACTGAGGGCGTCCTTCTAGCTGTGTCATTTTCCTTTGTCTCATCCAGTGAAGTTGGAGGCGATTGCCCAGGACGTCGGCAGGCTAGGTCTGTACGCAGCCCTGCTGACGATCCTGGTGCTGATCATCGAGTTCTGGATCGTGTACGGCCTGGACAAGGAAAACCAGCCCAGCACGATGCAGGCAGTGCGTGAGCACCTGCACTTCCTGATCATTGCCATCACCATTGTGGTGGTGGCGGTGCCCGAGGGGCTGCCGCTGGCCGTGACGATCTCTCTGGCCTTCTCCATCAACAAGATGCTCGCTGACCAGAACTGGGTTCGGAGACTGGCGGTGAGGCGATTGATCGATACATATTTTGAGGTCGAGTGTTGTTGGTGTCTGTCTCTCGGCTGAAAGGCGTGTGAGATCATGGGTGGCGCCAATGAGATCTGCAGCGACAAGACGGGCACATTGACGAGGGTACCCTACGCTACATGCAACACAACGGTTGGCAGCTCATAAGTATATATGTGTTGTTCAGAATCGGATGACGGTTGAGGCTCTGTGGAACGGGTGGGAGGTGAAGGATTACGAGAGGTCGCCCCCCAGGAAGGAGGAGTTCATAGGCGAACACCTCGATATACTTGTCGAGGCCATCGCTGTCAACTCCACAGCATACCTGGAGTTCCAAAACATCGAAATACAGGCATGGATGAATTTGTATTTCCTCGAGAGAGAGGCTCATTGTGAGTCCGTGCCTTCCTTACTGCGTGTGTTGTGTTTAGGACGGTACTGGTCGGTTCAAAGAAGTGATCAATCACGTGGGGTCGCCGACAGAGTGCGCACTGCTGCAGTTCATGCAGAGCATGGGTCGGTCAGGATGGGAGAAAGAAGAGAAATGGTTGCCACGTGCTCTCTGTCATCGCTCAGACTACGACTATCACCATCTGAGGAAAGACTATCCCATCATACACGTTGAGCAGTTCAACTCGGAGAGGAAAGTAAGAGCTGCGCTGCAAGCAACAGACAGTCTCGGCGTGGACTGACAACATTTGCCATTTGTGTCTGCCAGATCATGACGACAGTGATTCAGCACCCAACCCAACAGAACATGTACAGGGTGTTCGTCAAGGGAGCATCCGAAAGGGTCAGCACGTGAAACCGTCTCGAATGAGAGCGTCAAGCCGTTTGGAATGGAAACTCCACTCTTTTGTCTTGTTCAGGTGTTGCGTCTCTGCACGTCGTGCTTCGATTGCAACGGTCTGAAGGAGCCTTTGTCGAGGGAAGACATTAGCAAAATCGAGCACACCATCATTCACCAGCTGGCAAGCCAGGTACCTGCGCGTTGCACAAGAGACACCATTTCTGCATGAGAGTGTGCCACTGCATCTATCCACCAGGCGCTGCGGACCATTTGTCTGGCGTATCGCGACTTCGACCCGTCAGCTTTGCCCGACTGGAAGGAGCAGGACCCCGACACGCTCATATACAAAATGGAGACGGACCTCGTCTGCCTCGGTACCTTGGAACAAGCACCAGCAAACCAGCCGACCTGGCCATATGTGGGTGTCGGCAGGCATCACGGGCATCCGGGATCCAGTGCGAACCGAAGTGCCTGACGCAGTCAAGAAGTGCCAGAGGGCAGGCATCAAAGTGCGCTCGAGCAGGGAGACAGACAGACAGACACGCATTGAGCAGTCTCTTTGCTGTCAATCACCACTCAGGTTCGCATGGTGACTGGCGACAACATCGACACGGCCAAGCAGATCGCCATCCGGTGCAACATATACAACCCAGGAAAGGCCGGACTCGCCATGCTGGGTAACACGAAGCACAGAGACACGCACACGCACACATACAAATAGGCCGCAGCAGCTTCCCTCGTCTGCTGTGCGTCAGGTCGCGACTTTCTGCAGAAGATCGGAGGCGTTATCTGCGAGTCGTGCAAGACAGAGGTCTGCGATTGCCCGAGGGACCCCACACAGGCAGCAGAGTCTGGCAAAGAGGTACCAAGACACCTTTCTGACGCCCATGCCTCATTCGCAGATCTGCGTGTGTGTCACAGATCCGCAATGACGTCTTGGGGAAGCCAGAAGAGTTCTCCAAGATCGCCGACCACCTCGAGGTACCCGACATCCACAGCACATCTGCATGCCACCTCACGTGGATGTCTATCCGTCAGGTGCTGGCCCGTTCCCAGCCGTCTGACAAGTATGCTCTTGTCACAGGGCTGAGGAATATGGGACAGGTGCGTCATTCCCTCATCCATGGAATCGGGCATACAGGAGGCGTCGCTTTCCTGATGTAGGTGGTCGCCGTCACGGGGGATGGCACCAACGATGCTCCTGCGCTCAAGAAGGCCGACGTGGGCTTCGCGATGGGCATCGCGGGTGTGTGTGCACAGAGAGAGGCGAGGAACCAGAGACATCCATGTGTGTGCGTCTTGCAGGTAAGGAGGTTGCGAAGCAGGCGTCCGACATTGTGTTGCTGGACGACAACTTCGAGTCGATCGTCAAGGCCGTCAAATGGGGCCGCAACATCTACGACAACATCAGGAGGTTCCTGCAATTCCAAATCACGGTCAACATCGTCGCTGTGGCCACCGCATTCCTCTCCTGTGCGTGGGAAGAAGCAAATGGACTGATGCGCATGTGTACCCTTGCTGTTCTCTCTTCAGCTGTGATATTGCGTGAGTCGCCCATCGGTCCGATTCATCTGCTATGGCTGAATCTGATTATGGACACGTTCGGATCGCTAGGTCGGCAGCCAGCAGGATAGGAGGGGCCTGTCTTTCAGGAAGTCATCTCTGATATACCTCTTTTCCTCTGGACAGCACTCGCCACGAAGCCGCCAACAGAAGACTTGCTCGAAAGGCAACCATACAGGTACCAGACACTCACTGATGGGGGAAGAGGGTGAGTGCACGGCATTCCCCCTGATTGTGGCTGTTTGTGTCAGGAAGGACGAGTACATCATCTCCAAGATCATGTGGCGAAACATCCTCGGCCAGGCGACATACCAGCTGGCCGTCATGCTCATGCTCATTTTCGCAGGTGGGTGAAGATGAACAGTTTCACATGTGCGTGTCTCTACGTCTGTCGGTCTGTCTGTCTGTCTGTCTGTTGGTCTGTTGGTCTGTTGGTCTGTTGGTCTGTTGGTCTGCTCGTTCGTCATCAGGCGATTCGTTCATCCCCGAGTATGGGTGTGAGTGCAATGTGGACGAGGAGAGGTGTCGCAAGAGCCAGAAGATCCTGTGCGACGACGACGGCACCATCGTGTCCGGAAGAAGGTATTTCATTGGTTCGTATGGCAAGAAGGACGAGGACTACTCCCACGACATGTGGAATGACCACGGGCCATCAAGACACTACACGATAGTCTTCAACACATTCGTATTCCTGCAGGTACGGCCTGACGTGACGTCGGGCAGCCAGCTGGCCAGATGAATGGACTGGACAAGTGTCCGTCTCTCTCTCTGTCCGTTCTACTATACTAGGTGTTCAACATGATGAATGCGCGCAAGATCCACAATGAGTTCTATATTCTGGAAGGGCTCCTGCAGAGCCGAATGTGGGGCATCATATGGACAATAATCGTGCTTGCTCAGTTTCTCATGGTGCATAAGACACACGCATACGCCTCCACAGAACACAAGAGCAAAGTCGCTGGCTGGCGTGCAGGTTCAGTACGGCGGCATCGCCGTCAACTGCCACCTTAATGGTCTTGCTGCCATGCATTGGCTCATATCAGTTGCTATAGGTATCAACCACAACGCTCAACAACTCTGTCCGCATGGACTGTGTGCTGCGCGTGTGGCTGTGTCAATGAATCAGGGTTTGGTTCTCTTCCTATGGCGTTTTTGCTGCGGTTCATCCCGGTGCAGCGGTTCCCAGAGTACGGCATCAGGGAAGCTGAAGGCGAAGATATCACCAACAAAATAAAAAGAGGGTAGGACAGGACTATCACTGGACTGAACACTTGCAACATTCTGTGTCTCACGCCACGGTATCATATGCATGCAGACAATCGACATTTTCTGACCGCGGTCGTGTGCGGTCCAGCCTGAGGTCCAACTCGCCGCCAGGCAGTCCAGGAAGGGTGTCTAAGGAGTCAAAGTATATGACGGCCAGGACCAGCACACCAGGGTCACCCGGCGACAGACCAGAAGCAAGATATAAAATCGGACAGGTGCGGTTGTTTGTATTCCCCCAAGGAAGGAAGAAAGGAGAGAGACACCTGTGTGTCATGTCATCCACGTGTACATATCTTGGCGTGCACTGCACTGCAGGTCGCCCCTCTGCCCCCCACCATTGAGGAAGTCAGGGCAGACGTGGACAGATGACTGGCCGGCCGAGTGCTGTCTGGTGCTGTATGGTATGTGCGTGTTGTCTTGTCGGAATACTTGCTCTGGGCTGGGTGGGATGGGATGGGATGGGATGGGTGGGGCTCCTCCCTCGCTATTTGCTCATCGACCATCTCATTGTCGTTGATCTCTTGCTGCGTTTGTACGGGTGTGCGCAGCTGCCCGCAGCGTAGCGCCTTACCTGTTTCCTCCTGGTATTAGGTTCTTTATTCACACACATTTGGGTGGGGAGGGCGTGTACATCGGGGGCGTGGGTGGGGGAGTCGGCGTGCGTGTTCATCATACCTCTCTGCTTCCTCCCTGAACATGGGATTGGCTCGCGACATGCCTTTTCGTTGTCGATGGATGCATTCCATCGATTGAGTAGGCGTCTGTGTGTGTCTTCGCGTGTGTGTGCGTGTGTGTGTCTGGCGGTGTATGTGTGAGCATGACGACTGAGTAGGTAGCTGGTGAACTGCCTGAGTACTTTCTCTTCGTGACCCGTCCATCGTTGGTCAACGGTGAAACGAGTAGCTGACCGAAATGCGATCAGTGAGGATAAGGGTAACAATATGATAGTGAGTATAGTGAGTACGTAGAAGGGTCGCGTCAAATGTCTGCTCTTCCGTCTCTCCATCCATCCATCCACCCACCCGACATATGGATGGCCATCTGCATACCATACACACATCTACGAAATATACATCAACGCATCCACCAACCAACCAACCAACCAACCGACTCACATGACGACTACATATGCACTCCATCCATCCATCCATTCATCCATCCACCAACGCCACCCTCCCCTGTATTGGGACATCAGCCATCGACCGCTACACCTGAATTAGTCAGTCGTGACGCCTGGCAGAAGAGAGAGAGAGAGTGGAAATGCATGTATGGATCGATCGATGGGCGGGTGGGTAGGTGGGTGGGTCAATCAATAGAGACAGACAGAAAGACCTTTGTTGAGGGTAGAGGGGTCGATACATATGATGCGATCCTACTTACTTATGTACTTGTGTATGTTAGTACTTACTACGGGTGCGTAAGGTATGGTATGGTATGCAGCGTACGCAGACGGCCAGGCAGGCAGGCAGGCAGGCAGACATGTAAGCAGACAGACAGGCAGGCAGGCACCTAGTCAGCGACGTCACGACATGTGTGAAGGAATGCAGTCACGCAGGCAGGCAGGCAGGACAGTCAGGGGCATATATACGTACGTGGTCACGTTACTCGTTCGGTTTACATAGACATACACACATCCATGTCCATGAAGGCTAATTACTCCACACCACACCCAGACGGACAGACAGAAAGATGGACAGAGAGAGACAGACAGAGAGACAGGCAGAGAGACAGACAGCCAGACGGGCGCCGATATCGGATCGAATTACGCACGGACGCAAGCCCCTCGTGTGCGATAGATATAGATAGATAGACATGTCAGTCATGTGCCATCATCACCGCTCGTGACATGACATGCTGCATAAAGGCAAACCATCGAACCAATCAGCAGCCATTCACTCATCCCGGACGAATTACTCCTTACCCGTCGTGTGCAAACGAACAAGCCCCTCCCCTCCCCTGCCCCTAGCATCCCCTCCCCCTCCAGCCCTCCCTCCCCTCCCTCCCAGTTGGCCCCGCCCGCTACGCAGACCACCACACAAATAAAAGTGTGCGCCGGCTACGGCTGTGTATGTAGTAAGCAGGTACGCGATGGGGGGGTGGGCGATGTATGCGATCGATCGGTCATGCATTCACGTGTGCATCATGTCGAGGAAATGAGTGAATGAGTGCGTACCAAAAAGCGGTCGATGCATCGATGGGATGACCGCGTGTGTGTGTCACTACCAACGACTCACTCCTGTCAGCTCGCGTAGAGCTGAGGCATGCGAGCACCCCCCTCATGGCGGACATCATGCAGCAAGCAGAAAGTGCTCCCTCCGTGCCCTCCGTGTGTATGCGTATGTCGGCGCCTGTGTGGTCGGGTGGGTATGTGCCTCTGTGTATGTTGGTTGGTGTGTATGTGTGTAAGGCACACGCAACCAACCACTCACTCCCTCAATGCATTCAATGCAGCCCCTCCCCCTCCCTACACGCACTAATCTGTCTGCCATTGTTACTCATTCCTCCCTCCGTCAGGAAGGGCCTCATTTGTCCAACCTGGCTGCATGACTCGTGTGTGTGTACGTTTGTATGCAGGCCTCGTCGCATCGGAGCAGCCACGTGTCTGTCTGTCTGCCTCTCTCTGTCTCTGTGTGTGTTGGTACGAAACGTGGCCTTCAAAAATCCAAAACGATCAACCGACCGACCGCCCGGCCAGAAGAAACAAAACCCTCTCTGCTCCCGGAAAACGAGGCGAAATCAAAGTAAGCATAAAAGACCTTTTCGTCTCATGCAGACAGCCATGCACTCACTGAATGAATGGGTGGAAAATCGCAAGATCACAACAAAAGGAAAACCGACAAGAAGAAGAAAAGAAACAGACACGTTCCCCCACGCGTCATTGCCCGCCCCCGCCTCCGCCCCCTCCCCCGCCGCCGTGCTCCATTGCCTGGAAATCGGCATAGTCCCAGTTGGGCAGAGTGGGGGACTCGTCGGCCCCCCGCTCCTCTACAATCATCCGCAGCTCACTCTCCCCTCTCTGCTGGTGCACAAAGGTGGGCGTTGTCGACCCAGTGAGCCCGCTGGGAGACGGCGGCAGCCCTGGATCACCGTCACCCTGCTGCGGCCGTGGCGCGCTGCCCCTCATCGGCCCCCTCAGCATCGGCGGGCTCTTCTCACGCGCCCTAGGCCGCACCGGGGTGTACTCCATTGTGTACTGCGATCTCATGCGGTAGTTGTAGGCGTCATACTCGATCATTTTCGGGCCTCTTGGAGACGCCATCCGGGTGGCGGCGTCCGTGTGCTGCGCAGCGGGGGGCGGCATGTCGATGGGGCCTCTGTCGGGGGATGGGGGG